GTTATTGATATTTATTTGGCCTCTTCAATCTATGCTTTGGTGTCTTTCATCAGTTCTGGGAAGATTCTTAACCACTGTTTATATTGTCTCTGCTCTTTGTTTTCATTATAGGGCTTTCATCTAATGTTTGTCAAACTTTTTTATCTGTTTCCCCTCTTACCCTGTGTCCTGTATTTTCCAGAGAGAGGGAGTCAAGTAAACGAGTACTAGGTTAGAGGTCTGTATGAGGGAGATGCTAAGAGAACCCTACTGTTTCACTGTCTCCATCCTTTGAGCAGAGGTACGGACGGGATCAGTACTGCCCAGAAATCCTTTAGCTTGCCTCTAATCAACCCCCTCCGACTTCACACTCTGTCAGTATGCCAGGTGTTTCCCTCTTTCCCCCAATCTCTTATCTCATCCCATCACGTTCAGCAACAGGGTTTACCTACTTCCGAGGAAAAAAATCAACTCCCTGACACATACGACATCATTACCACTGACGTTGAGTGATGTACTCCCTGCCTTTTTCAGGTAAAGAGGCTTCCTTCCTCCTGTCCAAGGTAAACCTCACCTCCTCTGCTTGGGAATCCTTCTCCTCCACTGCCTTAGGAGCTGGACTCCATCAATCATCCCTTCTGGCTCCTAAATTTTCAATCATTCTTTCTTTGCCGGCACAAATCTCTCCCGCCTCAGCCCCACAGGCTTCCTCTATGTACTATCCAATATTCTTTTGGAAAAATACCTTACACCACTTCCTGATTCTCATCACACTCTTCCACTTGCTCCCCAGCACCAGGCCACTGAAACGACATTGTCTAAAGCAACCAGTGATCCTTATTCTCAACGTTATTCTCAAAATCCAGTGGCAGGTGTTCTTTCTCTTGTTCACCTTTAGGCAGCATTTAGGATTGGGGTTGGTGGGGTGAGGCCCTCACACCCAGTGGCTTATTTTCATCACAAGGGAAGCATGGCAAGGCCATCTGCTGAAAATGACACGGGTGGGAGCATGGGGGATCCGTGGGGGATTGAGAAGAGGCATGATGTGTTAGGGTGGTTGGAATAGCCACTGGGGAGAATGAGCAGGATCTGTATAAGGACAAGGAGAGCAACCACTGAGCAGTAGCAAAGGCCCAGTGGTTGCTGGAGATTAGTAATCATTAATGGTGCCAAGCATCATTGCTATGTGACATCTCCTCCCAGCAGTGGTCATTGAAAGACGTCTTAGTCCATTCAGGCTGCTATAACAGAATACATAGACTGGGTAGCTTATAAACAAAAGAAATTTACTTCTCACAGTTCTGAAGGCTGGGAAGTTCAGGATCAAGGCACCAGAAGATTCGGTGTCTGGTGAGGGCCTGCTTCCTGGTTCACAGACGGCACCTTCTGGTTGTGTCCTCACATGGTATACAGGGAAAGGGAGTTATCTGGGGTCCCTTTATAAGGGCACTGTAATCCCATTCATGAGGGCTACACACTCCTGACCTAATCACTCCCCAAAGGCCCCAGCTCCAAATACCAAAACACTGGAGATGTTGTTTCAACAGAAGAATTTTGGAGGAACACAAACATTCAGACTATAGCAGAAACCAAGGAGTAGATGATGGCATTGGGCTAGGTTTGAGTATTCATGGACAACATGCTAGGAAGGGTGATGGAGTGGGGAGGTGGGAGATGGGGAAGCGAGGAGGCTGGAAGGTGAGAGCACTTTAACTGAGGAGCCATTGTACCTAGTGGGGTGGGGAGGGAAGGAATGGAAGAGAAACTGAGAGAGTCTCCATAGACTCTAGAAAATATAGTGTCTTGGGATTGGAGCTTCCACCTGTGATATCATATAATGGGAACAGTTGGAAGGGGAGCACAAAAATACTGGATGGATAGAAGAACTAGGCAGATGATGAAGTATTGGAATTTGCATTTTCATAAGTGGAAAAGTTTTTGGGAGATAATGAACCCTTGGTAGTTAAAGGAAACAGTTGCCTTCATCAGGTCTCTTCCAGTTGTGAGTTATAAGGGCTGAACTCAACCAGCTCAAAGAGAAAGGTAACAGTTCTGATCATCTGTTGCTATGTCTCTACCCCTGTCTTAGTCTATCTGGGCGGCTACCACAAAATGCCATAGATTGGGCGTTTTGTGCACAACAGAGATTTATTTCTCACAGTTCTGGAAGCTAGGAAGTCCAAGGCCTGGGCGCCAGCAGGTTCAGTGTCTGGTGAGGGCTCTCTTCCTGATAGATGACATCTTCTCACGGTGTCCCCACTTGGTGAAAGGGACTAGGGGGTCTTGCTGAGGTCTCTTTTATAAAGGTTTTTGTCTCATTCAGGAGGGTTTCATCCTCATGAACTAGTCACCTCCCAAAGGCCCCACTTCCAAATACAGTCACCTTGAGGGTTAGGATTTCAACATGTGAATTTGAGCGAAGGATATAAACATTCAGACCATAGCAATCCCCCAAAATACAGTGGCTTCAAACAATAATCATGTTAGTATTTTTCATAATTTCCTAGATTAGGAATTTGGGCAGGGCCCAGCTGGATGCTCCCTGTGGTGTCACTTGAGGTCACTTGAATTGGGCTAGCATGGAGAGTCCAAAATGCTTTCATTCACAAACCAGGCATTTGGTGACGACCAAAAAGACGAGAGTCAAGCATAAAAATCCTCTGGGAATACAGAGGCCTGGCCTAGGGGGTTGCCAGTGACAGAAATGAGGAGAGGAAGGGAATGTTCTGGCCCAATAGCCAGAGGCTCAAAGTAGCAGAAGGAGACTCTTTCTTCAGAGGCTGAGGGTTCTAAAACAGAAGAACACATGTGGGCTCCAGGCCTCCTGGAGAATCAGGCCAGAGGCAGGGTCGCTCTCAATGGGGAGAAGGCTTCGGAGGTGGTGTCCTGGGGAAGGAGAAGGAAGGGATCTGGGAAGAGTGGGGTGCAGGAGGTAGGAACCAAACACAGCAGAAGATGGGTGGAGAGTCCAGGACAGGAGAGTGTGGTGGTGGTGCCCTAGCCAGAGGGCTGAGCAGAAGGCATGGGGAAGGTAGATTGGGCCACAGGTGTGGAGGTGTCCCCTGCAGGCGGGCTGGTGGCTCTGGAGCTGAGCTGTGCCAAGTTCCCTCAGGAGGCAGACATTGGGGGCCTTGGGAGGGCAGGAGGAGAGTCACAGTGTGTCCAAGCAAATCCAGTACAAGCATAGGAGCGGGTTGTGAATGGGAGGAAAACCTACAATAAAACAAAATGGTGGCCAGACACGGTGGCTCACGCCTGTAATCCCAACACTTTGGGAGGCCGAGGCGGACAAATCGTGAGGTCAAGAGTTCGAGACCATCTTGGCCAACATGGTGAAACCCCGTCTCTACTAAAAATACAAAAATTAGCCAGGCGTGGTGGCATGTGCCTGTAATCCCAGCTACTTAGTAGCCTGGGACAGGAGAATCGCTTGAACCCGGGAGGTGGAGGTTGAAGTGAGCCAAGATTGTGCCACTGCACTCTAGCCTGGGCAACAGAGCAAGACTCTTAAAAAAAAAAAAAAAAAAATGAGGCTAAATGCATTGACTCACGCCTGTATTCCTAGCACTTTGGGAGCCCAAGGCAGGAGGATCGCTTGAGCCCAGGAGTTTGAGACCAGCCTGGGAAACATAATGAGACCCCATCTCTACAAAAAAAAACACAAAAATTAGCTGAGCACGGTGGCACATGCATATAGTCCCAGCTGCTCAGGAGGCTGAGGTGGGAAGATGGCTTGAGCCCAGGAGGTAGAGGCTGCAAAGAGCTGTGATCACACAACTGCACTTCAGCATAGATGACACAGTTGGACCTTGTCTCTCAAAAAAAGAAAAGAAACAATAAGTTGCAATAATAATCTTGAATTCAAACCATCTCACAAGGCTGTTTCAATGTTTTGCTATTTTCCTGCATGTCTGGATTGGTATACTTTGGCCTCATTCATAATTTTTTAGAGTATGCAAAACATGCAAATGGCCTTTATAACAGTGCACATGCTGCACACGAATGCAACGGAGATGTGTGATGCAAAGCCTTTCTCCATACATTAACTCAACAGAAATTTACTGAGCAAATTCTACATGCCAGGTCATACTGTTATAGGAAAGGGGTCCGGATCCAGACCCCAAGAGAGAGTTCTTGGATCTCGCACAGGAAGGAATTCAGGGCGAGTCCGTAAAGTGAAAGCAAGTTTATTAGGAAAGTAAAGGAATAAAAGAATGACTACTCCATAGACAGAGCAACCCCGAGGCCTGCCGGTTGCCCGTTTTCATGGTTATTTCTTGATGACATGCTAAACAAGGGGTGGATTATTCATGCCTCCCCTTTTTAGACCATATACGGTAACTTCCTGTTGTTGCCATGACATCTGTAACCTGCCATGGCGCTGGTGGGAGTGTAGCAGTGAGGATGACCAGAAGTCACTCTCGTCACCATCTTGGTTTGGGTGGGTTTTGGCTGACTTCTTTACTGCAACCTGTTTTATTAACAAGGTCTTTATGACCTCTATTTTGTGCTGACCTCCTGTCTCATCCTGTGACTTAGAATGCCTTCACTGTCTGGGAATGCAGCTGAGTAGGTCTCAGCCTTATTTTACCCAGCTGCTATTCAAGATGGAGTTGCTCTGGTTCACATACCTCTGACAATATCGTAGAGCAAACCAGGCCTCAGGGAGGTGGACACCGAAGGAGGACATATACAGATGTGTAGGGATAAATGTTGGGAAGTGCCTGGAGGAAAACGGGGAGCTGGGAGAGAGTTTGGCAAGGGGAGGGGATGCGAAGCGGCCGTTAGGTACTTGCTCTGAGACCTAAAGGAGTATGCGCAGACCGAGGGAGCCGCAGTTCTAGGCTGAGATTGCAGAGGTTTAGGAGTCCAAGAGTCCAGCAGGGCCGGATGAGCTGAGGGCTTAGGGAGAGCTTGAGAGAGGCCAACCTGTGGGCAGAGCCTCAAGGGCTCTGGTGAGAAGTTTGGGCTTCTTCTTCCTTGTGGAGGGCTGTTTCCTCTCATGCTTGGTCATCCTGGAAGGTGAACTGCTCTTCAGTGGGTACTTTACCTGCGAAAATCGTATGTGGACAATGTGGTGGGCGAGTCCCTCCAAAATGAGTTTTGTGTGAGTTGCCCAACAGCGTAACAAACTGGGCGCTATTTGTGTTCATTGCTCACTTCGTTGCTCTCTGATGCAAATCTCTGTAAATGGAGGCCTCAGCTTCTAAGGGAAATTAAAAAAAGGTTTTTTGCAACCCAAAGCCCAGGCTGAAATAGACATGCTTCCTTGTCATTGCCTTGACCAATGACTAGATTTTTTTTTTTTAGTGCCCCGTTGATGTGGGGGTGTCATACCCAGGTCCCTACCTAGTATGGACCCAAGGCCTTGTTGTCTGCTGTCACCGGACCATTTAAACCAAGTCCCTTGGTTATTATAACAGCGAGCCCCCCTACCCCGCGACCCAGCGGTGTGCAGCCAACCCTCAGTTGATGCGTGGCCTCTGATCTTCCCTCCCCGAAGTCCTTACAACCTCAGCCCCATCGGTATTTTCGGATGTTTTTGTAGAGCGAGTGTTTTCAGACAGGAAATGGACGTTTGAATCTTATTGTCTGAATGCAGAGAGAAACAATGGAAGGATCTCCACCTGGGGAGGAACAGATCTGGTCTTTAAAGTTCGCTCAGGCTGCTCTGCAGGGGACGTGGGGGCAGAAAGACAGAGCCGCCAGCCGGGGACCAGCAGGCGTCCCCTGAAGCTGCCAGAGCAAGAAAGGAAGGGGACCAGTTATGTAATCCATGGGACATCCACACAACAGAACAACACAGCTGTCAGAAAGACCAAGGCGGTGTGCCGGGCACAGACATGCAGACATGAGCCAGAAATATTAGGAGGAGGAAGAAAGGTGCAAAAAAAAGACCTGTCCAAAACTAAAAAGTGTATATGGAGACATCACAGGGCAGCAAGAGAAGCAGGAATGGACCAGACATGAAGGGCCACCAGGCTGAAGGGCTGGGCTGTGTCCTGGGGGAACTGGGGAGCCATGGGAGGTCTGTGAGCAGGAGAGGAGCTGGGCAGCTCTGGGGGACAGAGTGAATTCCAGGAGGCCCAGAAAGAGGCTTGGGAGAGGGTCCACACCAAGAGAATAGAGGTTCTTATCCCCACTTGATGGGGTGGGGTGGGGCTGCGCTGGTCACAGAACCGGCAATCGGAGGAAGCTGGTGTTCTGGGCCCAGCCCAGGGCTCCTTCTGGGAGCTGGACGGGGCAGGGACTGAACACAGCATTCACCACGGGGCTTCCTGCCTTAGAATGAAGATGCTTAACTGGTGGGAGGAACATCAGAGTCCCAAGACCAAAGAAGGCCTGACCCTTAAGAAACCAGAGCTGCTGGAGGAACCAGAAGTAGCCAGAGTGCCTGAAGCTGACATCCCACCAGACCGGCCTGGAGGTAAGTCCCTGGGACAGTCACAGGCAGGTCGTCAAACAACAGGGCCGCAGGCCAGGGTCCCCAAACCCATCACCTGGCAGAACCACCGGGAGGCACTTGTTCAGGACAGAGAGTCCCAGGCTGCCTCAACCCCCCACACCAGATGCTACATTTGCCAAAACAAAGTGCCACAGACTGGCTGGCTTGAACAGCAGATATTGATTTTCTCCCCCTCTGGAGGCTGGAACTCCCAGGTCAAGGTGCCAACAGCCAAGCTTCCTTCTGAGGCCTCTCTCCTTGGCCCGCAGATGCTGTCTTCTCCCTGTGTCCCCACAGGGTCATCCCTCTGTGTGTGCCTGGGTCCTAATTTCCTTCCCTTGTAAGGACACCAGTCATTGAACTCAGGCCCACCATGTGACGTCATTTAACCTTAATCACCTATGTGAAGACCCTGTCTCCAATACAGTCACATTCTGAGTCACTGGGGGTTAGGATGTCAACATATGAATGATGGGGGGGTGGGGCAGATTCACACTTTAAGCCACAACAGAGGCTTAAAGAGGCTGCTTGGATTCCCCGGTGTTGGGTACTCAGAGAGGGGACTGGGCTTGCCGGAGGCAGCGGAGCAGCCGAGTCTGGTTCTCCCGAAGTCTAGGGATCTGGAGAGACAGAAGAGTGTAGACTCCGAGACGGATCACGGCACTCGGCCTGGGACGTGGAAACCTGGCCCAGGCAGAGCTGCACAGACCTGCCGATGCCAGCAGTGACTCCGTCCCAGACTCCAGACCCGGAGGCCGACACCCGGTTCTCACCCATTTCCTCCCATTTCCTCGGGGAACATGCCCCGGGGCCTCCCCAGCGGCAGCCCTCGTGTTAGCCAATGTAGGGAACACGCCTAACACCTGACACCTGCCCAAGGGACACGCCACCCCAGCAGCCAGGCTGACAGAAGCAGAAACAAAACACACAGGGACACGCCAGGCATCAGCACCAGGAAACAGGCTGCTGCCGCCCACAGGGGCCGTTGTGAGCCCAGAGTGGATCCAACCCAGCCTCAGCCTTCTTGAGAGAGAGAAACTGAAGCATGCTCAGCACCATGGGAAGGTGGCTTGAAACCCTAAGGAACCCCCAAAAACACATCCACAGGGGCACTGGGAACCATGAGGCCCCAGCCTCGGCACATCTGCATGCAGACAGAGAAACTGAGGCTCACCGTGCCTCGGGCCACACCGCAAGGCTGCGCGCTGCTCAGGACTCCTGAACCCGGGACCCTTGCCCCCCACTGCGGCAGCTGACCCTGTCCTGGACATTTTCTCCTGACTTTATGAGACTCTAGTGCAGAGGTTGCAAACTCAAACGCTCACAGCCACCAGGCAGGGAACAAGAGGGGCACAGTTGGCCTAATGGGGGCCTCGTCTGCCTTGAAAGCAACTGCCCCTCCTGAAGGCGGCGGCTCGCCGTGGCGGAACTCTCCCCAACTCCTCCCTACCCGCTCCCCACAGGTCAGGAACACGGGGTGACTACAGCTCTTCATATTTTTTTGTTTGTTTGTTTTTTGAGGAGAATCCAGAGATCTCGATTTCAGTGTGAAATGTCTTGATTCCAGCACATCAGCAACTGAGAACATGTGTTTTAAAGGCAGCGCCGCCGTGGGTCAAAGAAAAGCCCAGATGAGGCCTCCCGTTTGCAAACTCGGATTAGAGGCAGAGATGTGGAGGGGACTCCGCTCCCTGAACACACTTCCTGCCCACAGCAGGCGAGGCTATTCAGAACGCAGACGCTTTGCCCAGGGCAACCAGAATCCCCAGGTTCTAGGAGGAAGCTTGGGTGTGGAAGAGTAAGGAGGGGTTTCTAGGTAGAGAAAAACATTCCAGGTGTTCACTCACGTGGCCACAAATCCCCGGAGGCCTCCCATGTGCCAGGCGCTGGGCTGGGGACAAAGAGGAGTCAGACCCAGGTCCTACCCATAAGGACCTCCAGGTTGCTACACCCCTTCGAGCAGGGCCAGGGCTGTGTCCCAAGAAGCATGGGGAGAGGGGAGGGGAGGAGGAGCTGGCATTGAGGGAGGGAGGGCTTGACCTGGCCTGGGGAGCTGAGTGTTGCTACCTGAGCCCCGCAGGCATGCAGGGAGAGGTGATGGCACCGCCAGGCACAGAAAGCTGCAAGATTGAAGGCAGGAGGCATGGCGCTGGGGGTCAGAGCACTCCAGCAAGGGCAGAGCAAGCAGCATTTCTAGGGCAGGAGGCGGATGACAGTGAGAACTGAGCCAGGCAAGGGACCACAGGCTGGGCCTGGGTGAAGCTCCTTGCAGACAGGCCTTGCTCACCCTCAGAAGTGAGGGAGGAGCTGATACTGATGGGGGTCCGCTTCCTCTCCTCTCTGAAGGACACGCACAGTGGTGACAACGTTCCTGAGTTTGACTTCAGTCCTGATGCCCCACCTTTGAAGGGTCGTGGGGACTAAGGCTGACCAGGAAAATTGTGGCATCCCTCTGGGTGGCCTGAGGGGTGAGCGCAGCAGGGACCCAGCCGCTCCACAGATAAAGGTGAGATTGGAAAGTAGAATCATCTCCCAGGAAGTGGCTATTGGGCTGAACTCTTTCCCCGAGGGTGGACTGAGGACTGAGGGTGGCCCAAGCCCTCACAGGCCTTCATTCACCTAAGCCAGAGACCCTGTGGAATTGGTCCCATTACCATGCCCATTTTACAGAGGAGGAAACTGAGGCCCAGAGAGGCTGAGAAGCCTGCCTAAGGTTACATTCCTACCTTCTGAGGCAGACGCTATCCCCCTGCCCTTAACCCACAAAGAAGTTGAAGTTCAGAAAGGGGAGGTCCTTCCAGAATCTCACAACCTGGGGACAAAGCCAGATCTGAGGTGCTCCTGCCCTCTCCTGCCTGCTCCTAGGGGCAAGGCCCATCGGGATCACATCAGGCTCTCTTCTCCCCATTCCAGAGTGCAGACTGTGGAAGGGAACCGTCTGGGGCTGCCTGGGGCAGCCACTCCAGGCTTTGCTGGCTCAAGGAGCAGATCTAGGATCTCCCTCCCATTGACCCTCAAAGTCTAGTCTCTCTGTCTCTGTTTCTCCCTCTCTCTCAGTTCCATGCACAGATGGTTAACTCTCTGTGTGCCCTGTACCCTGCTAGGTTTGGAGAATGGCTGTGGTTAGGGCTGCCACCATCCCTTCCTCTGCCAGGTGGGGATCACCCCAACCGCGGGACACTGCAGAGGATGGGGGTCATGGGATCATGGACTTCTGTGGTGGCCCCCTGGACAATGGAGCTGAGCCACCTGTGTTTAGATCCCAGCTCTGGCCCTGAGTGTGGGCCACTCCCATGTTCCCTAACCCCAGCTTTCATCTGCAAAATGGGGGTATAACAGACCGTGGACCACTGTGAGGCACAGATGAGTTAATGTTTATTCGGTAACCAGTTCGGGGTTAAGGGCATGGTGATGGCAGCCTGTGTGTGTGCCAGGCCATGTTCTAAGCACATTACATGGGTCCTCTTGTTTGTATCCATCAGGGAAACAGAATGAGTAGCTGATCCTTATGCAAAGGCTTATTGCATGGAAGTGGGTTATGTGATTCTGAGAGCTGGTTAGGCAGGTGCTATGGACTGGATGTCTGTGTCTTCCCAACATTTTTATGTTGAAACTTAACCCCCACTGTGATGGGATCTGGAGGCCTCGGTGTGGACTACCACAACAACATACCATAGCTTATAAACACAAGAAATTCAATTCTCACAGTTTGGGGAGCTGGGAAGTCCAAGACTTCTTATTTCTTCTGGGAAACCTCCATTCTGCTCTTAAGGCCTTTTTGGGATGTGATTAGGTTATGTAGGTGGAACCTTCATGAATGGGATTCATGCCCTTATAAGAGGCCTAAGATGGCTGGGCACGGTGGCTCATGCCTGTCATCCCAGCACTTTGGGAGGTTGAGGCAGGAGGATCACTTTAGCTCAGGAGTTTGAGACCAACATGGGCAATATGGTGAAACCCCATCTCTACTAAAACTACAAAAATTAGCCAGACATGGTGGCACACGCCTGTGGTCCCAGCTACTCGGAGGACGAGGCAGGAGGATCGCTTGAGCCTGGGCAGTGGAGGCTGCACCACTGCACTCCAACCTGGGCAGCACAGCCAAACCCTGCCTCAAAAACAAAACAACAACAACAAAAAGGCCTAAGAGGTCAGACATTTCCTCTTCTACCGTGTGAGGACATAGCATAAAGCACCGTCTATGAACCAGGATGCCGGCCCTCACCAGACACAGAACATGCCAGTGCCTGGATCTTGGACTTCCCAGCTCCCCAGACTGTGAGAAATGAATGTCTTGTATTTATAAACCACCCAGTCTGTGGCATTTTGTTGCAGCAGTCCACACCGAGTAAGACAGCAGGCCTGAAGTCTATAGGGCAGGCAGGCGGGAGAGGCAGGCTGGAAACTCCAGCAGCAGCTGAAGCGAAACGCTTTCTTTTCCCGGGAAACCCCCATTCTGCTTTTAAGGCCTTTCAACCGATTGCATCAGACCCACCTACATTATTGAGACTAATCTCCTTCAGTTAAAGTCAACTGATTAGAACAACAACAACAACAAACAGGTAACTACAAGACGTGACGGATATGTTAATATGCTTGACGGTAGTAATCATCTCACTATGTATATATCTATCAAAAGATCACGTTGTATACCTTAAATATATACAACACAGTTAACTGATTAGAGATGTCAGTCACAGCTACAAAATCCTTCCTCAGTGACATGTCTCGGTGTTTGACTGAGCAGCTGCGGTCTGTAGCCCAGCCAGGTTGGCGCATAAACAGACCATCGCACTGCTGTGTCCCCACCACGGCCCTGTGGAGTGGGTTTTGAGATTATCCCCATCCTGTAGAAAAGGATGAGGAGACTCAGAGAGGGTAAGGAGCCTCCCTGACTGAACAAACGGCGGAGACACCTGAGCCAGGGCTCGGAACGCCCCTTCCTCACCTCCCGCACCACGTCCCATCCAACCTTGCTCAGGGAATGTCTTCAGCTGCTATTATTAGCACCAAGCACAGCTCCAGGGACATGGCACAAAAAAGGAAAGTACATCTCAAAGTGGGTAACCATACCTGACCTTGTCCTAGGAAACAGAGAGTCAGGGAGGGAAGTCTTTGAAGATGAGAAGAGTTCGGTCAATGAAAGGGATAGGAACTAATTTATTCTTTCAAAAATATACTGAGGGCCAGGCACAGTGGCTCATGCCTGTAATCGTAGCACTTTGGGAGGCCGAGGTAGGCAGATCACTTGAAGTCAACATGGTGAAACCTTGTCTCTACTGAAAATACAAAAAGTTAGCTAGCTGGGTATGGTGGAGTGCACCTGTAGTCTCAGCCACTCCGGAGGCTGAGGCCAGAGACTTGCTTGAGCCTGGGATGCGGAGGTTACAGTGAGCTGAGATCGTGCCACTGCACTCCAGCCTGGGTGACAGAGCAAGACTCCATTTAAATACATACTGAGGGCCAGGTGTGGTGGCTCATGCCTGTAATCCCAGCACTTTGGAAAGCCAAGGCGGGCAGATCACGAGGTCAGGAGATGGAGACCATCTTGGCTAACATGGTGAAACCCCATCCCTACTAAAAATACAAAAAATTAGCTGGGCCTGGTGGCGGGCGCCTGTAGTCCCAGCTATTCGGGAGGCTGAGGCAGGAGAATGGCGTGAACCCGGGAGGGAGAGCTTGCAGTGAGCTGAGATCGCTCACTGCACTCCAGCCTGGGCAACAGAGTGAGACTCTGTCTCAAAACAAATAAATAAAAATAAATATATACTGAGGCTGGCTATGGTGGTATGTGCCTGTAGTCCCAGCTACTCAAGAGGCCAAGGTGGGAGGATTATTTGAGGCCAGGAATTTGAGACCAACCTGGACAACATAGCAAGACCCCATCTCTACAAAAATAATAATAATAATAATAGCTGGGCATGGTGGCATACACCTGTAGCCCCAGCTACTTGGGAGACTGAGACAAGAGGATAGCTTGAGGCCAAGCACAGTGGCTCACACCTGTAATCCCAGCACTTTGGGAAGCTGAGGCAGGAAGATCAATTGAGCCCAGGAGTTTGAAACCAGCCTGGGGAATATAGTGACACCCCACCTGTATAAAAGTTTTTTAAATTAGCATACAGCCAGGCACAGTGGCTCATCCCTGTAATCCCAGCAGCACTTTGGGAGTCCAAGACAGGCGGATCACCTGAGGTCAGGAGTTTGAGACCAGCCTGGCCAACATGGCGAAACCCCATCTCTACTAAAAATATAAAAATCAGCCTGGCGTGGTGCACACCTGTAATCCCAGTTACTCAGGATGCTGAGGCAGGAGGATCGCTTGAACCTGGGAGGCAGAGGTTGAGTGAGCTGAGATTACACGACTGCATTCCAACCTGGGCGACAAGAGTGAAACTCCATCTCAAAAAAAATATATATATATATTTATATTTATATTAATATTTATTTTTATATCTATATATATACACACACACACACACACACATACAGGGATGCCTGTAATCCCAGCACTTTGGGAGGCCGAGATGGGCAGATCACAAGGTCAGGAGATCAAGACCACCCTGGCTAACATGATGAAACCCCGACTCTACTAAAAATATAAAAAATTAGCTGAGCATTGTGGCCAGCACCTGTAGTTCCAGCTACTTAGGAGGCTGAGGCAGGAGAATGGCGTGAACCCAGGAGGCGGAGCTTGCAGTGAGCCGAGATCACGCCACTGCACTACAGCCTGGGCAACAGAGCGAGACTCCATCTCAAAAAATATGTATATATATGTGTGTGTATATATATTTTTTATATATATTTTTTTAATTTTAAATTTTAAAAAAGCATTAACTATTTTGGAGAGGCTTTGCATCAATAAGGCATGAATTTTTGTACACCCCCGAGCTTTCTAAGCATTGCGTTCAGTGGGCTTCAGGCCTTGACTTATTCGACTCATGCCTGCAAAGCCCCCTAGCAGAATGGAACGCTCTTAATGAATAAAGATAAAAGCCAGTGATGGTGCTAGTCAGCGAGGTCCTGGCCTGAAAGAGACAGCCCCCTCCAGTGGGATTTCTTAAACAGACGGTCTAATAAAGGTACCATTTGCAGAGGTGCGAGCAGGGTTAGGGATGTAGGGAGGGTAAGGATCTCAGGTGCCAGCAACGGGAGGGAAGGGTTCCTGCCAGATTCTGCTGAGTCCTGGAGGAACAAGGGGAGGAATAGTGTGACCAAGGCCTTAGTGAGAACTGAGATCATGGAGGAGCGGCTGCTGATGGCATTGAGGCTCCCAAGGTGGTCAGCAGGCAGGGAGGAGAGGATCCTCCAGCCCCCTCCAGTATCCTGCCTGTGCCTCCCTTTGGCCAAACCCACCTTGAAGTTGAAGGGCAAGGGAGCTTGCTGATGGGGTCAGTAGAGGTCAGCCTCGTAGGCACAGGGGA